TGCGCGCTCAGGGGGGTGTGGGTGGCAGCAGGGGGTGGGTGGGGGAGGGAGCAGCGCCGGCTGGCGGGGCACGGGAAGAAGCCGCAGCCCTGGGTGAGGCCGGTGCCCAGGGGACAGGGGCCGCAAGCTGATGCACATCATTGATGTTCCTCTCTCTCTCCCTCCCTCTCCCTTTCTCTCTGAAATCGATAAAAATGTATTTTAAAAAATGATAAAATCCTATGACTCTTCAGCTCAGCGTTGTCCGCGGGTGAGCAGTGTGTCTTCAAGTTGAAGAGCCGACCCACCCAGGGCCAGGGCAGAGCTCCAAGAGTGAAGTCACCTGACTCTCCTTGCCCTCCGCTACAGGAAGCTCAGAGCAATCATTTCACCAGGCAGCGGAACACCAGGTGGAGATGGTGACAACCTTGCCCTCATTTGCCTTCGGTTTGTTTGTTTTTTTTGTGTGTGTGTGAGTATTTTTATTGATTTTAGAGAGAGGAAGGGAGAGGGGTAGATAGAAGCATCAATCAGCTGCCTCCTGAACGCCCCCCACTGGGGATGGAGCCTGCAACTAGGGTACATGCTCTTGACCTGAATCGAACCCAGGACCCTTCAGTTCTCAGGCCAACGCTCTATCCACTGACCCAAATTGGTTAGGGATGCTTTCATGATGTTCAATTTGTAACCATGAAAATACATCCTGCCTATCAGATATTTACATGACAATTCCTAACAGTAGCAACATGACAGTTATGAAGTAGCCACGAAAATAATTTGATGGTTGGGGGTCCCCACAACATGAGGAACTGTATTAAAAGGCCGCGGCATTCGGAAGGTTGAGAACCACTGGGTTAGGGCCTAATCTGCCTTCTATCGATAGAGCCACCGTAAGTGGGAACCTGCCTGCCACACCTGGATATAAGTCTCCAGGTCTGGAAGGGAGGGAGGCCTCTCAGGTGTGGGAGGTTGCTAGGAAACATCAGGGCTGTGAGTGCCCAACCTGCAAGAGGACAGGTCCTGCCATAGCCGGTGTGGCTCAGTGGATAGAGCGTTGGCCTGTGGACTGAAAGGTCTCAGGTTCGATTCTGATCAAGGGCATGTACCTTGGTTGCGGGCGCATCCCCAGTGGGAGGTGTGCAGGAGGCAGCTGATCGATGCTTCTCTCTCATCGATGTTTCTAACTCTCTATCCCTCTCCCTTCCTCTTTGTAAAAAATCAATAAAATATATTTTTAAAAAGAAATTCTCTCTGGGTGGGGGAGGGGAGCTGGGCAGAGGGAGCCCCCTTCATGCCACTCTTCCTGGCTGCGGAGCAGGCCCAGAGGCCGGGCTAGCCAAGCAGCCTGGAGCCTCACACGTTGGTTGCACTGAGTGGCTTAGCCCAAGAATCTGCCTTTTGTCAGACATTCCAGTACATTCCGCTCACCCTCCCCTCGGGGCTCCAGCAGCAGCAAACTCATAAAGGCCTCTTTCACCAGCACATGCACGGTACCTCCTGGCTTTTCGCTGTTTAAACGGGCCCAGAACTGGCTGTGTGTCAAGGACGAAGCGATTCTGGTATTTACAGCTTTACTGAGTGAGGGCTTCCGGCCTTTGGGTGGGAAACACCCCCTAAACTTCAGCTCTTGGAGCTCAGGCCTCCGTGATGTTCCTGCATCGAAAGTGCAGTTTAATAGCTGTCCCGGCCCAGCCCTTGTGGCTCAATGGTTGAGCATCAACCCATGAACCAAGAGGTTACCAGTTTGATTCACGGTCAGGGCACATGCCGGGTTGCAGGCTCCATCCCCAGTAGGGGGCATGCAGGAGGCAGCCGATCGATGATGTTTCTCTCTCATTGATGTTTCTC